GCTGAGTGCATCCATCGAAGCAGCAGGCGGCCTCTCCCCGGAGCAATACGGGTTCAGGAAGGGGAAGTCAAAGCTGGACGCCATCTCCAAGGTGGTAAAAACGGCAGAGGAAGCATGCGCTGGTTCCAGATGGAGAGGAGGGTCCAAATCCTACTGTCTCGTGGTGACACTGGACATAAGGAACGCCTTCAACTCGGCAGATTGGAGCCGCACGCTAGAGGCCCTACAGCGGTTCAACATCCCTGGATACCTACAGAGGATAGCGCGTAGCTACTTCAGCGACAGGGTGCTGACGTACGAGACCAGTCTGGGTTCCAGGGCATACAAAGTCTCAGCCGGAGTCCCTCAGGGCTCCGTTTTGGGACCCCTGCTCTGGAACGCCATGTACGACGGAGTCCTGAGACTACCGATGCCAGCCAACACCAGCATGGTGGGGTTTGCGGATGACGTCGCCATAGCAGTGGTGGCCAAGCACCTCGCCGCAGTGGAGGAGCTCGCCAACGCGGCCGTCCGAGCCGTGGAGTCGTGGCTTACGGTCGCCGGATTGGACCTGGCAGCGCAGAAGACCGAGGCGGTGCTCATATCGAGCCGGAAAGCTATAGAGACAGCAAGTGTGCAGGTCGGTGGCACCACGATACGCTCGCAGAGGGCAATCAAGTACCTCGGGGTGCTCATCGACACTCGCCTCTCCTTCAAGGAGCACTTGGAGTACTTGCAGAGGAAGGCCAGCTCCTCAACACCAGAAGTCCGAAGCAGGCAACGCGGAAGCTCCTGACGAGTGTTGTGACGTCGCAGATCCTGTACGCCGCGCCCGCGTGGGCGAAAGCCGCTCAGCTGAAGACCTACATGCGAGGTGTGGAGGCGACGTACAGGCTGTGTGCCCTAAGGATAGCGTGCTCGTTCCGGACTGTGTCGGACGAAGCAGCGCTGGTCATCGCGGGGCAAGTCCCACTCAGGGAGCTAATAAGGGAGAGAGCAGAGTGGCATACAGCTGCGCATGGCGGAAGCGAGGCGACAAGAGCCGAGCTGAAGGCTACCGCAAGGAGGAACAGCATCAGCAGATGGCAGACCCAGTCCAGTCCAATAAGTCCAGCGCCCTTTATGTGAACTGTCCCACATAAAGGGCGCTGGACTTATTCCCTCATACCGAAGCTGCAAGCCTGGATCGAGAGGAAGCACTGCCAGGTAGACTTTTACCTTACCCAAGCGCTGAGTGGTCATGGCTGCTTTCGCAGCTACCTCCAGCGCTTTGGCCACGAGACGGAGGACGGGTGCCCAGAGTGCGGCACCGGTATAGTGGAGGACGCACAGAACGTCCTCTTCGAATGCCAGCGGTTTGACCACGAGCGTCACCGCATGGAGGCAGTAGTAGGCGCCAGGATCTCCCCCGAGACCTTGGTGCCGATTATGCTGACCGAGCCAAGGGCATGGGAAGCGGCCGCAGAGTTCGCCTCGAGCGTTATGCGAACGCTGAGAGTGTTGGAGCGGAGTCGTAAACAGGTGACGGAGTAGGAACCTTCGAGCGTGCGAAGCAATGCTTTGCGGTAGCCTGGCGCCCACTCCCACTCCCACTAGCAAATACGGCCCCATTATAAGTATACCCACTAGTGTAAGATTGTAGCATTATTAAAGCAAGACAATTAGAAGGAATAAACAAATGAATACAAAAAAAAAAAAAAATGTATGTATATAATTTTGCTCAACGTTAACTAATTGTGTAGATGTTCTCCAAACACTCAGGCAGTGCTGACACAGAATATGTGTCTGGTGTTTGTGCTTTAGTTTTTTTTTCTCTCTTTAAATTGTTCGGAGTATTTTATTAATTTGGCATGATTGGCTTTTTCATATACAGAAATGGCTATTGCGTTCGGAAGCTCTCTCAACTCACGATGGCAATGAGACTGGAAGGGGAATGAGAACGAGCACGAGAACAAGATAGAGACTGGGTGGGCAAGCAGACTAATTGGCGTTGGGGGTTTTCATGTCATCATTGCTCATCTTCTGTTGTGCAAGTTTCCCGATTACATTAGCTCGGGGTTGGTTGACGGGGTTAGAGTGTTATAGACACCATTGAATTCATGTCGCTGCTGATATCTCAACAGGCTCTGGACAGCCAACCCAGAAATACGAATATGAGTAACTCCCACATATCTCATCAATTGGATAAGCATTTTGCACACTCTCGATGTGCAGCAGGCAAAACATCTCAACGAATTCTGCTTTCTATGCATAGCTTTTCCGGGCAAAGTGAATTCCAGGTCCCGACTTTACAGTGCGGATTGCTCCAATTTCAAGCGAGAAATGAGGAATTCCGAGCAATAATATGTACACAGTGCACTATGGGTTAAAAGCCCGAATTTTTGACATTAATGTAAATATACCCGGTACTCGAAGAGTAAATAAATGTATTTGTGCGAATAACGGTTGTATGTAACGCACAGAAGGAAACGTTTCCGACCCCATAAAGTATATATATTCTTGATCAGCAGCAATAGCCAAGTCGATTGAGCCATGTCTGTCTGTCCGTCTGTCCGTCTTGTTTGTCGGCTAGTTCTCAGAGACTATAAGAGATAGAGCCACCAAATGTTGCATCCAGACTGCTATATGCTCACACTGAAACCAGTGTATTTCAAAAATGAGCCCCGCCCCTTCCGCCCCCGCAAAAAGGCGAAAACCTCCCAAACCTACTATTTTGAAAATAAAAGAAAACTAAAAACGCTATTCCGTAGGGAATGGCCATTTCTATCAGATCAACAAATTGGGATCGGATTGGATCATTATTATGGCCAGAATGCAGAAATTCATTTGCAGTGGCTTAACCCCGTTCCGCAGCTTACATTTGTTTTTTTCACATTCTCTCATTCACACTCTACTTCGCGCAGTGTGCGGCCTCTGCCTCTGCCTCGTCTCTGCTGTGACTCAGCAGGGTGTTTCTCTAGGGGAGGGTGGCGAGCTAAAAGAGTGTGTTGGCGTGAGTAATGTTGTTGATGTAGATGACAGATGAAGAAAAACTAAAGTAGCCGGGTATGAAAGTTGTGACGCGTAAGAAGCGGCTCACACGTCCCTTCTCGTTTATAATAAATGCGACGTAAATGGGTTCCAGTTCGTATGAGGCCGGGAGGTAGGCGGGGTCAAAATTTTTTTCCGAAATTGTATTTTAGTCTAACGAACATGCATGCCAATTTGTAGAGTTCTAGCTCTATTTTCCAATATCCAATACCAAAAAAAACCCCCCTTTTTACCCATAGTGCATCGTCTTAATTGGGAATCAGTGGGCGGAGATGACAGGTCGACTTGGTATTAAAATGTCTATCTTGTAGACTTGATTGTAATTTTCGTTTTATGGTAAGGGCTATTTTTTAAGAAACAACGAATCAAAAACACTTGTTTGTAGATAATAGATTTAGTTGCATGGTGCTATCGTCAGAAGCAAATAATTTTCTTTCATTTTTACGAAATTGAAGTTGTGGAATAGTTCCAAAAACACAAGGAGTCCAAAGGCGTTCAAAGTTAATTTTAATCGATTGCCAAACGATTGCGTGGCCCTTCCTGAGAAACTATAGAAGTTCTTCCAGAGCTTTAGGTTCCACCCTTTCAAATAGCCCTTGCATTGATCATATTATCTCAGTTAAGTGAAGTATAAATTGAAACTATACAAATTTTGTTTCTAAGTAAATCAACACATAAACAGATAAACTCAAATGCTCTGAAATAATGAGATATGCTACATAAATCATTGCTCGGCCCAAAAGAGGAGCCCTAGAAGTTAAACTAAAAACTAAAAGCAGGAGGCATAGAGGAACCGAAAATCAAGTGCACACGTCTTGAATTTCGTCCCAATTGATTATGTATAAGTATGTAGTTATAAGTAAGCTATAAGAAGTTGTGATAAATGCTTCCAGGGGTATCTTTTGACTGGATAACGATGCCAAGCACTGAAGAAAGACCGCCTGGGATTTGGTTAATCGAAATCGTTTATGGTAATGTCAAATGCATTGTAGCAACTACAAGTCCGTCAATCAGAGAAAAGTGGTTTAAGAATTACTGGCTCAAGTCCCACTAAAACGTTGCAAAGTGGTCCCTCAGCCGAAAAGAGGTGGCAAGCTCAAAGAATTCAATGAGCTCTTTATACAAAATGAATATACGAAATGACTTTTCCAGCGCTTGCAGCAATCCATTACACTGTTCTACACGATTTTGCCGCTTCGATTCAGACTAACTTTTTCTGAAAGATATGGGGCGATACTTTTAATACCCGGTCTTTGAAGAGTAGATAGGGTATATTGTATTTGTGGGAAATAACAGTTGTATGTTACGCACAGAAGGAAACGTTTCCAAATTTCCAATTCCAATTTTTTCTTCATCTGTCATCTACATCCACAATACTTCTCACGCCAACACGCTCCTTTAGCTCGCCCCCCTCCCCTAGAGCCACACTGCAAAGGCACGGCAGCGGCAGAGACCGCACACTGAAAATTGTGAATACCGCAGACTTTTCGCGATTTGCGGGGGCGGTGCTCATTTTTTAAATACACCTGTAATAGTGTGAGCATACAAAAGTCTGAATGCAAAATTTGGTGGCTCTAGCTTTTATAGTCTCTGAGATCCAGGCGCTCAACAAGACGCACGGACAGATAGAGATGGCTCTATCGACTCGGCTATTGATGCTGATCAAGAATATATATATACTTTTTAGGGTCGGAAACGTTTCCTTCTATGCGTAGATCCGTACATCCGTTATTCCCCACAAATACAATATACCATATTTACTCTTCGAGTACCAGGTATAAAAACTGCAGGCAAATAGCCAAGAATCATTATATATGGATTCAGTGATATGGTGGTTCAATTAAAATTCATTCATTTCTATTCAATTCAGTATGTGAGTAGTTGTGAATTCAAGTATGTATTTATATACATATATGTATAGGTAAATACTCTATTTAAAATAAAACAATTTATGCTCTAATAGAAAAAAACTATGAAAATCAACTGCAAAAAGCGCTTTGAATAGAATACATTTTTTATTAGAAAAATAATCCCCTAAAAACCTTGCTCCCAATCCGTACATCCCCTTCTTCCTACAGACCCCTTGCTGTCATGCTCATTTAGAGCAATCACAGAACACCATCTTTCATCATTAATTTTAATTAAGGCAAACTACATTGTGTGCATGTACATTCATGGCCTGGATATCGTTGATTACAATTTCGTTTCGTTTCGCTAATGAATGAAGTGTAACCGAAGCGCTGATTAAAATGTAACTGCCCCCCTATTATGTATGCATGTACGATACATTTACATTCACATACTCACATACATACATAAAAATGCATAAGTTCTAGTCGGACTTTGTTGCTTCCAAACAGTACTTCTGTTCTTCTAATGCGTTCTTTACGCGTGACACGGGGTGAAACACGCGGAATTCAGTCCTTTTTGATCTAGGTAGGAACATTTCTTTTGGAACGCATGTAGAAATGGTGTTTGTTGTAATTTCAATTTCGTGAAACGCTCTGGTTTCCCTTTCAGTTGTAGTTTCCGAAAGAGCATTACAGAACACATTTTTGGCATGCATGAAGAACCGTTCATAGGAATTTATGGCGCATGCGAAAAATATCGTGGCATAGGAACGTATTAAGAACTGTTTCGTGAGCATAAATAAAAGAGCGTTCTCAAAGAGCGCGAAAAGGGCCAACATACGTACATGCCCATGAACACAACAAATGCAGGAGCATTCCCTTTATAAAATTATATACAATATAGGCTATGTTACAAATAAAAGAAAGAAAACTGTAAGCATGTACAAATTTTCCTTGTGCATATCCATTTTTTGGCCATGGTACTTCAATCCCTTGTATGTTATCTGAAAAATATAAAAACGGCATATAACGATTAATTTAATTACATACATATACATATAAAAAAGGATATCAGATCAGTTTGAATATTATTTCATAATCAATTTTAATATAACTCACCGCATTTCTGTTAAGGAATGGTGCAACCCTTGCTTTCTTTTTCTACCTTAACTATTCATTTCTGTTTGCAAAGAGGTACCCTAGGCATATATACTTACATATGTATGTACATACGTATATGATGGCAAACAGATGCAGGTATACATACTACAGTTTGTTATACCCGGTACTGGAGGAGTAAAGTATATTGTATTTGTGGGGAAAAAATTTAACACACAGAAGGAAGCTTTTTCGACCCCACTAAGTATATACATATGTACATATATAAAAAACGAGCAAAAATCTCCCAACGCTTCAATTTTGAAGATAAAACCAAAAACGAAATTCAGTAGGGACCACCTATCTATCAGATCACCCAATTGGGATCCGATTGGATCATTAATATAGCCACAATGAAGACATTAATTTCCAGTGGCTAAACCCACCCTGTCCAGCAGCTTTTGTTGTTCTTTTCACATTCTCTCATTCAAACTCTGAAACTCAGATGAAGAAAAAATTGAAAATTTGACAAAACACCGCTAAGGTGCAGATGTAGTACTGAGTGCCGGGTATTAAAGTTGTGACGCGTAAGAAGCGTTTCACACGTCCTTTCCCGTTTCATTTTTAGCTCGTGAGGCTCTACGGAAGGGGGCAAGCTAAAAAAACGTGTTGGTGTTGGTGCGAATTGATGTATCTATTTGTAGATGAAATATGTTGAAAATTTAAAATTTAAAATATACCGAGATAGGGACGTGTGAGACGCTTCTTACGCGTCACAACTTTTATGCCCGGTACTCAGTATGACATCTGTACCTTAACGGTTTTTTCAAATTTTAAATTTTACATTTTTTCTACATCTTTTATCATCATCGACATCACTTCTCACGTCAACACGCTTCTTTGGCTCGGCCTCCTCCCCTAGAGACACAGTCTGCAGAGGCACTGCAGAGGCCGCTCACTACACGAAGCAGAGTGTGGATGATAGAATGTGAAAAAAACAAGAAAAGCTGCTGGACGGGGTGGTTTTGGTGGTGCTCTGATAGATATGGTCCTTCCCTACGGAATGGCGTTAGTTTTATGTTATCTTCAAAATTGTAGCTTTGGGAGGTTTTTGCCCTTTTATGGTGGCGGAAGGGGGCGGGGCTCATTTTTAAAATACACTTGTAACAGTGTGAGGATACAGAAGTCTGGATGCGAAATTTGGCGGCTCTAGCTTTTATAGTCTGAGATCCAGGCGGTCATCAGGACGGACAGACATTGCTCAATCGACTCGGCTATTGATGCTTATCAAGAATATATGTGTATACTTAATGGGATCGGAAACGTTTCCTTCTGTGCGTTACATACATTCACTTAGTGCACAAATACAATATACCCTATTTACTCTTCAAGTACCGGGTATAAAAAAAACCACTCAGGTACAGATGTTCTACTGAGTTTCGGCACTAAGCTTAGTGGTACCGGGTATAAAAGTTGTGACGCGTCTCTCCCTCCACTTTTGCTTTTCTTTCTTATGGAAATTTGTGCTCACATACCAAACTCCATCGTTGATGTTATTCAACATGTTATGTGTATGTGCATAAAATATGTAAATAAGTCTTTATTAATTGTTTCTTTCATATTCTTCAGATGCAGTGGAGCTGCCAAAATAATCTGCCAATACTTACGTGGTAAAATCATCACTTAAATTTCACTTTTTCACACATTCACACACATATTCTTTAGTTATTTTTTCTTATTAATGCATTATTTTGGCATGCTAGCGTTTTCGTTGCGTTATTTTCTCCCTTCCAAAATAACTTATAAAGAACGCATGTTTCCATTTGGGAAAAACACCGAACGATCGGGAAGCTATTTGGGTTACACTTAATCTTTTTTGGAAGAAAATGATGCATGATAAAACGCTTCTTTGGCGCTTCGGTTCTACAAAGTCCGACTGGGTACTGTGCGGAAGCAAGTAAGTCCGACTGGGTTTCTTTACATATCTTTATAGTATAAATATAATATATATGTATATATATATGTACATATGTAAGTCCCCCCGATTATACAAACTGGCCATGATGTGGTAATTTTCCAACAAAAAATTTTCTGATTCCGAGTTCGCATGCAGAGAGTAGTGGATGATAGTCAGAGTTACATATTTACATACATACACATGTATGAATGTATTTTTTTTCATCTGTCATCTATTTATTTACATCTACATCACTTCTCACGCCAACACGCTCTTTTAGCTCGCCCCTCTCCACTAGAACCGCACACTGCAGAGGCACGGCAGCGGCAGAGGCCGCACACTGCAGAAGCAGAGTGTGAATGGGAGACTGTGCAAAAAAAAAAAAAAAAAGCTGCTAGTTTGGGTTTTGCCACTACAAATTAATTTCTTCATTCGGGATATAATAATGATCCAAACTGACCCCAATTCGATGATCTGATAGATATGGTCCCCCCTACCGAATGGAGTTTTTAGTTTTCTTTTATCCTCAAAATTGTGAATACAGTAGATTTTCGCGATTTGCGTGGGCGAAAGGCGGCGGGTCCAAACTTTTAAGTACGCTTTTAATAGTGTGAACATACCATCTGGATGCAAAATTGGGTGGCTCTAGCATTTATGGTCTCTGAGATCCACGCGCTCAACAAGACGGCCTGACGGACGGACAGACAGACATGGCTCAATCGACTCGGCCTTTAATGCTGATAAAGAATATATATCCTTTATGGGGTCGGAAACGTTTCCTTCTGGGCGTTACATATATCCGTTATTCCCCGCAAATACAATATACCCAATTTGCTCTTTGAGTGCAGAGTATAATCACTAAGCAAACAACTCATAGAGACGTCAAACGGACCTAAAACTGGTTGCCTGATCAGTATAGTGGATTGGCTCCCAGTGCCTTCGGTTCTTGGTGAGAGAGGCTTCGGCTGAGAGAGTTTGGCGTTGGCTCTCTTGAGCATTGAACGCAAAGCGACTCTCGCAAAAACAAAGTTTGGTTTTTATACCCGGTACTCGAAGAGTAAATAGGGTATATTGTTTTTGTGGGGAATAACGGTTGTATGTAACGCACAGAAGGAAACGTTTCCGACCCCATAAAGTATATATATTCTTGATCAGCATCAATAGCCGAGTCGATAGAGCCATGTCTGTCTGTCCGTCTGTCCGTCTTGTTTGTCGGCTAGTTATCAGAGACTATAAGAGCTAGAGCCACCAAATGTTGCATCCAGACTGCTATATGCTCACACTGAAACCAGTGTATTTCAAAAATTAGCCACGCCCCATTCCGCCCCCGCAAAAGGGCGAAAACCTCCGAAACCTACAGTTTTGAAGACAAAAAAAAACTAAAAACGCCATTCCGTAGGGAATGGCCATATCTATCAAATCACCCAATTGGGATCCGATCGGATCATTATTATAGCCAGAATAAATAAATTAATTTTCTGTGGCTAAACCAACCCTGTCCAGCAGCTTTTGTTGTTCCTTTCACATTCTCTCATTCACACTCTGCTTCTGCTGCACTCGGCCCCTGCCTATTTAAAATTTGACAAAACACCGCTGAGGTGCAGATGCACTATTGTCCCAATGACCAGTTTTGGTGGCTGTTTACGCCAATTAGCCAAATTATGGCCCGGAGCAATTAGTATTTTGTATAAGTAAAATGAATTTGTAGCATTAAGCTATTGAATTGTTGCATTTACGACATACTCACAGAAGTTTGTTGCTATAGAAAATACATGTAATATGTGAATACGATAGAGAAAGAGGAAGAACACGCATTTAATAGGTGAATATCGAAATTAAAAAGAAAAAGAGATTAAATTGATTTGAATTCCGACTCGGTCGAACAGCAGCACTTGGCTTTTTTTTCGAGATTTTGATTCTGAACTGGTTGCGAGGAGTTGCGGAAACAGTGGCCAAAAGCTAATTTTTAAAAGTTAAAACCAAAACTCAGTTTTTAACGCTCTGTATTAGAAAAAGAGTTACCATCAAAGTTGCGTATAAGAAATTTTCATAGAAAACTTTCGAAAAATCTGCTGTGAAACCTAGCGGTCATTATTGCCCAGAATGTGCAGGGAAAAGGTACCAATATTATTGCTGTTTTAAATATCTCATAAATTGGAAAATACGATTAACTGATCCAATTTGTTTGATGCATTTTATTTAGTAGGCTTTTTACTTTGTGTTCTGTAATGTGAACGATATCTAGTGGTTGGCGATGTGTTCTACATCTAGATGTAGTCCTGAGTGCCGGGTATAAAAGTTGTGACGCGTAAGAAGCGTCTCACACGTCCCTTCTCGTTTTTTTTTTGTGTGCGGACGGTGCCTCTGCCTCGAGTCTGCAGTGTGTGGGTCCTGGGAAGGAGAGCGAGCTAAAGAAGCGTGTTGGGGTGAGAAGTGTTGTAGATGTAGATGACAGATAAAGAAAAAAATTTAAAATTTGAAAAAACACCGCTAAGGTGCAGATGTAGTACTGAGTGCCGGGTATAAAAGTTGTGAAGCGTAAAAAGCGTCTCACACGTCCCTTCTCGTTTTATAATAAATACGACATAAATGGGTTCCAGTTTGTATGGTGGCGGGAGGTAGGCGTGGTCCAAATGACTACATTTTTTCAGAAATTCTTTTTTAGTCTAACGAAAATTTGATTATTTCATATTTATGTATCTCTTCGTGAAGAATTAATTAGTCGCACGACACTGTATAGTTTAACTCATCGAATCTGTAATACAGTTCATATTTTTTGCTCATTTTATATACTAGCTTTAATCGATTTTGAAGTGCTTCTCCCACATTTACATTGCATGAAACAACGTGTAATGACAGTACTCACCTCTACAATGCAACGCTGCACACACTCACGTGTGACGCGTTCCAGGACCACACGCTCATCGACTCCACCCTCTGGTAACTCTGGGCCAGCCGCCGTAGGTTTTTGTGGTGGCATTGATGACGGTGCCGGTGCTGGTACTTGTACTGGTCGCGACATGCTGCTGATGGCAATTCCCTCCACTATACTGGGCGGGTCGGCTGCTGCGTGCTTGTGCCAAATGGCAAATTTTTCCACCACGTCACTGTCCAGCTTTGGGAGCAGACCCAGATGGTCCCGGAATTTTTCTGGCATGCCTGAGTAATTGAAACGGCTTCCATCGTGAGAGCGACACCCTTCGCAGCAAATCGACTACAGGATCAATATCAGGAGATTCACAATCAGAATTGCGGATATGCCCTCGTGTCCGTCCTGGCCGCTGGCCAGCTGCCGGCCCAGCCGCGTCACCTGCTGCCGCAAATTAAAGCAGCGGCTCTGCTGCTTTCTCTGACATGTCGCCGCTGTCGGGGACGACTGATGGCTGATGTTGGTGGTGGACATAGTTGTGTATCCGTTTACAGCAATTTTAACATTGAAGCTAATTGAAACGATTCGAACTCGCTGGTCCGGGAGCCTTCTTCTGCTGCTGCTGCTGTGCTGGGTCTACATTGTCATTCAAAAACATAATTATTGGTGTGAAAACGTGCGACCTTTTCTCAGATTTGCTAGCTATGCGCTGCTACATATGTGCTAATGAGATTTTGTGGGTCAGGTTCTGTTTTATGGTGGTTCACGCAGTTACTTCCGTTGCTGCTGTTCCTGTTGTTGCTGGGAGTTCGCTGCCAACTCCGAATACAAATTCTAGAATTTGACTAAAACAGAGACTGAAAGGCAGAGAAACTAAAACGATACAGAAATAAAGTCAAACTCAAATTCAATGGGCATGTAAAGTGCATTAGCCAATTTCCATATATTGCAAATCAGCTAATAACAAAACGCGTAAGCTCAGCGCACAGCATCGCGTGATACCGAATTTGTTTCCAGTTAAGTTCAGGCTTTAAATTAAGTATTTATTTGTTTAATTAATATTGTACGCTACCAGGCAATGGTTTAAGGGAAGGAACACAAAATCAAGTTACTGAAATGATTCGAATTGAATTGAAATTGCTTTGGATTAAATAAGTAGCGTCAGCTTATGAAATTAATTGTCTCCCCCATCGTGCTGGATTTGCTTTCGAGCTGCCTCTGATAAACTCATCATGGGATGGCTATTTGCGAAATAGACATACTCTTTTCAGCGAACGGTTTTCGAAAGCGAACTTGCGCAAGGTCGAACCGAACCGATCAATACTCCAAAGTATGTCTAACGATTCGGTCCAGGTTTGGAACCTTCACAGAAAATGCTCACGGCACACATATCGAGCGAAAAGGCTCAATTAGCATGGGTCAATAAGTCACACAGCAAATACACAGCAAAATGTATCCCCATTAAGATGCAAACAGATTGAGTGGAGTGGGGTCGGAGGAGATTCATGGGAGAATCCATTCAGCCTCAGCTTAAAACTTTACAGGAAATAATAGATGATTGCACTTTAATTTTATATTCACCGAGAGAACAACAGTACACAAAAATAGCAATTATATCTTATCGCCAAACTATATCGTATTCGTAAGCACAGCCGCCGCGCCGGCAGGCCGGGAGCCTGTTGTTGTTGTTGTTGAGCGCAGTTGCCGCGGGTTTATTAAATTTATTGGTAATTTGAGAGGCTTAATTTCATTTCATTGTTGCCTTTGTTTTCCCCAACTTAGCAGCAACTCGAAAGTGAGGAAAGGACGGGCAAGAGGGCCCCCACTAACCTGGCAAAGTGTCAACGCTCAGATGGTGGTGGTGGTGATTCACCGTACTTCGTACTTCTCAGTGGCGCGATCGGAACACAACTGTTTGACCCGACGAGCAACATGCTTTAACCAGCTCCATGATGCAATTATATAAGGTGGTCCCGTCCATGACGCAATTACATAAGAGGGTCTCGTCGGCAGAACTGCACCCCTAACAATGCTGCCAGTAAGAACGAGGGAAAGGGTTCTGCGTGTGCGTGAAACGACAAAACAGATTGCAAACAGTGAGATGATTAACCCCTTAATGGCATGGGATTGAGGTTAATAGTTTGTTTTTTTTTTTTTTTTTTTTTTTCTCTCTCTTTATATTTACAATCTGTTTTTAAACAATAAGTAAATTGTATAATTAATATTCAATTAACAGAAATAGCAGTTTTCCAATGAGCCCTGCTATTATATATAACATCTTTTTAGTTTGTTAAATTTATCTATCAGGGATATCGAGAATGTGGTATCTTTTCAGTCTTCTTACTGTTAGGCTATTGTCTAATAGACTTAAGGCTAAATTATTTTCGTGGTTGTGGAGTCTGTCGATGTATTTCTTACTAGTTTTCTTTATTTCTTCTTTAATGGTTGGAATATTCAGATCTTTGTGGATGTTTGCATTAGATACGTAAAACGGAGCATTGACAATTTGTCGCAAAGTTTTTGATTGGTAACGCTGAAGTATCTCAATATTTGAGTTGTTAGCAGTTCCCCAAAGCTGTATAGCGTAGGTCCAAACAGGCTTCAGGATGGATTTGTAGAGGCGAATTTTGTTTTCCAAAGTGGTTTCTGATTTTCGACTTATCAGCCAGGACATTTTTAGTGTTTTAAGTCTAAGTTGTTGACATTTTGCTTTAATGTGGTTTTTCCATGTTAATCTGCGGTCGAGATGCAAGCCGAGATACTTCACACAGGTACTTTGTGGAATTGGTGAGCCGTTAAGTGTAACATTTGGGCAGTTACCTGGTCTTAATGAAAACGTTATTTGGACGGATTTCAGGGAGTTTATTCTAATTTTCCATCGAAGGAACCAGGCTTCAATTAGGCTTAGCTCACTCTGCAGGAGTTCAGAAGCTTCATTTATAGATGTGCTTGTGGCTAAAACGGCTGTATCATCAGCATATGTTGCAACAGTGCAGTTGTTTGTAACTGGCATGTCGGCCGTATATAGGGTGTAGAGAATTGGTCCCAATACGCTTCCTTGTGGGACGCCTGAGTTGATGAGAAGTAGTGATGAACTATCGGTTTTCTGCTGCACGTAAAAGCATCTTTTAGCCAGATATGATTTCATTAATAAATAGTACGGAGCAGGTAGCCATTTCTTTATCTTGTACAACAAACCTTTGTGCCAGACTCGATCGAACGCTTGTTGAACATCAAGAAATGCAGCAGTGCAGTATTTTTTGTTTTCAAATGCCGAAACTATATCATTAATAACCCTGTGACATTGCTCAGGGGTCCCATGACCCCTCCTGAATCCGAATTGGTATTCAGGAATGATGGAAAGTTCGTCTAAAATTGGTAACATTCTCTTCAATAGTATTTTTTCAAACACTTTCGAGAAAATTGTCAACAGACTAATGGGACGGTATGATGTCAATTCCGTTTCTATTTTGTTTGGTTTTAGGATCATAACGATCTCTGCACATTTCCATTGACTTGGAAAGTGGTCTAGTCTGAGAATCGCGTTATATATAAGAGTGAGAAACCGAATGCATTTTGGTGGTAAACTTTTTAGGGTGATACCGTCTATTTTATCAGGGCCTGGTGCTTTTTTATTGTTCAAGCAT